GCGAGCGTCGCCGCGGTCGAGGCGGAGCAGGCTGCGATGAACGCCACCGTGGAGGAGCTCCGCCGCGCGTGCGGCTCGCTGCTGCAGCAGGCGTCTGCGGCGGAGGCGTCGCCGGCCAGCGACGCGGCGGAGGTGGAGGAGCGGATGGCGGAGCTGCAGCGCCAGTCGGAGCTCCGGCTGTTGCGCGAGCTCGAGTCGTCGCGGCTCAACCAGCGCGTCGAGCTCGCGTGCGCCGTGCTGCTCTCGCTCGGCGTCTCGTGGATCATCTTCGCCTTTTGCTTTGCGCACGAGCCGCCGACGATCCCGGTCGCCGACCGGCCGATCCGGATCGATCGGGCGCGCAGCCGCGTCCTGATGAAGTCCGTGTCGGGCTTCCTGTCGTCAACGCCGCGCCGGACGCGGCGCGACTCTGACGCGCACGCGTTCGAGTGCGCCGTCCACGCGGCTGTGAGCGAGCTGTCCGGCTCGGACCCGCTGCCGGAGAACAGCGGCGCCACGCCGCTGCCCGACAGCGACAGCGACGGCGAGGCTTCGCTCGACCCGTCGCCGCGCCAGCTGGTGCCGGCGCCGTGCAGCGAGAGGAAGCTGGACTTCAGGAGCCGCAGCTGGCCGCTGCTGCCTGGCGCGGACTCCAAGTGGCCCGACAGCCAGGCCGTCGACGAGGTTTGACCGTCGGCTAGGACTCGGAGTACTCTACGATGCTGATGATTGGCCCTCTGCGGGGATGATGAGAGGATGGATGGCGGCCCTAGTGGAGGCCGGCCGAGGTGGGCGGTGGCCCCGTGGCGACAGCCGGCGTGAGCCTGCTGGGTCACGGGATAGATCGTCGAGAGAGTGGCATGAGGCGCCGCCCCGACACGGTGTGCTCTTTGCGGATGGAGAGAATGGCGCGCCAGGGGAGAGGCGTCGGGAGGCGCATGGAGCTGCATGCAGTACGGCCCCGCTACAGAGTGTGTACAGAGAGAGAGAGAGAGGAGACAGTCGATTTACAGTTGGGCTGACCAAGGAAATGGCAAGTAAATGGCGCGGAAAAGAAAAAAAACTAAGCGTTGGTCCAGTTAGCACGCACTTGCGTTCCGAGATTGACGCCGACCCAAGCACTCTCAACAACGAGTGGTGTGGTGGCGAGCCACCACGGCAGGAGAGATGGCCCAAACGCCCGTAACGCCGAGGCGCCGGGTCAGCGCTCCTCCATCGCTCGCATCTCGTGAGTCTAGACACGAAGACACTTCATGCCGGCTCTGCACTCTGGAGCGGCGCTCTGGTGTTCGCGAGTGCCACTTCTGCCGCCAGACTGCGACCGCCGACTCGCTCGGGCTGCCAGACTCCCACTGGCGCCGCGCCATCTTCTCGCGCGACGCGTTTGCAGACAATGCCTCGGGCCTCTCTGACGAGGGCGTCTCGGCGGCTATGAACGAGTCCTTCCGAGTAGCGACGTGCTCTGTGAAGAATCTCGACGCGTTTCGCGACGCAATGATCTCGATGCCTGACGCTCTTCGCCAGAGTCAGGCCGCCAAGGACGTCTTCACTCGGGAAGTGCCGCAGAATCTCAGTCTTCTCCCGACCGACAACGGCCTGCTGCTCCTCTCCCACTACGTTGAAGAGACTCCGCACGTCGGAGTGTTCAAGGCGGCCTGCGACCACCTCGCGCCCTTACTCGCCAAGGGCCCTTTGGTGCACGGCGGTGGCGTCTGCCGCTGGGCTTCGGGCCTGAATCCCGCCGGGGCCGGCTGCCCTTTTGCTGCTGTGTGGACTCTGTCGCTGGGCGCCGCCGGGTTTCCTGGTCTGGCGGGACTCAAAGTGGAGGACGAGCGCGATGCGACGGAGGCCGCTGTCTACGCGCTGGCCAACTCGGTGCTGCTGCCGACGGGCGTGCTCGGCGTGCGGCTGATCCGGGACGGCGATATTTTGATGGCAATTGTCGGCACGTCCAATATGGCGGCGGCGGCCACGCCGTTCTTGCCTCTCCACGTCCCCGGGGCGGCTGCCCCGCGACTCATCGGCAAGGGGCCCATCGTGTGGCGCCGGCACGTGCCGCACGCAGCGGCGCGGCGGTCCTTCGCCCGGGGCGACAGCACCCACTTTAGCCTCTCGCTGGCGCCAGCAAAGCTAGACCACCACCGAGTGCAGCAACACGACGGCGACGGCGACGGCGACGGCGACGACGACGAGCAGGCATCGCGCACGCGAACCGCTCCGCCATCCCCGTCGTTGTCGCGCCTCGCGCCACTGGAGGAGACCAGCACTAGGGCGAGCAGCGGGCGGGTGGAGGGAGCCTCGCGCGCGACAGGTAGCGACGCGCGGGAGACGGATCGGTCGCCGCCGCAGCTCTGGACGATGGGGCTGCTCGCCGGCTCCGCGGTGTTGCTGGGGCTCGTGCGGGCGGGCGTCGTAAGGGGCTGAAAGAAAGAAAGAAAACATAAAAATCGAATAGGGATGGAGGACGACGCGCAGCGGAAATTCTTTTTTGCAAGCAAGGATATTCACTCGAACAGGCAGGCACTGACACCTAGGGACCGCGTGGGGTGGGCGGCGAGCCGCGCATCGGCCGACAATGTGCCGGTGTACGCGTTTCGGTCCAGTTTCGGTCACACTCAGGGCCCGTTTTGCATGACCTGGTCGTCATGCCATTCGCAGCGCGCAGCGGTGTTCCCGAGAAAATTCGCCCCTATGTCAACCGCTCCTCTCTCAGACAGACTGATCTCCTACGCTCTGCGCCGCTTGTCGCTCCCTCAGATCTCTCTCTCTCAGACGCTGATCTACTGTACGACGCTCTGCGACAAGCGCGTCGCGCTCACGCGGGCGGCGGGGGAGGTGGCGCGTAGTCGTCCACCATGACGGCGACCTTGGTGCCCTTGATGACGATGTACTCGCCCTTTGCGCGCCCGCACCTCGGGAAGGTGATCGGGTAGCCCCCGAGCGTGGTCTTGCAGCCTCCGGGGTAGACAACCTGGTGCCCCGCGGAGTTCTTCTTGATCTGATTGGAACCGCGGCGCACGGGGCACGACACAGCCCCCCCGCCGCTCAGCAGACGGATCTTCACCCAAGCGAGCGGCGGCCGCTCGGCTGCAACGGAAAGGGAGGGGTCTTAGCCTTTTAGGGCTGTCGGGTGTGCGTGTGTGAGGGTGGGGGGGGGGGGCCTGCGGCGTCCTCCCTCTTCTTCTTCGCGCCCTTCTGGCCGTTCGCCTTGCCGGTCGCCGAGCCGCCGAGCGCCTGCGTGCGCCTGCGCTGCTCCTTGATCTCCTCCAGCCTCCCCACCGCCTCCTCGTGGCCGACCGCTGCCGCGTCCGCCGCCGCCTTCACCACCTTGCTGCCGCCCCGCGCCCGCATGCTCATCTCCTTGGAGATGGCTTCGGTCCGCGCCTTCTTCTGCTCCTCGGTCAGCTCCTTGTCCAGCGGCGACGGCCCGTCGTAGCCCCCCGCCAGCGCCTGGATCGGGCGGCAGACAAGGGGCGTGGAAAGGTGGGGGAGGAGCGGGAAGCGTCTAGGAAGTGTCTGGAAAGCGGCTCAGCGCCTTGGCGTCGGCTTGCAGCTGCTTGCGCTCCGTGTCGTTGAAGTTGCCGTGCTTGGGGGAGAGGGCCTGGAAGTACTCGACAATGGCGTCCTCCGGGAGGACGCCGCGCTGCGCGAACTGGATCGCGGCGTCGACCCGGGCCCGGTGGCCGAGGGACATGCATTTGAGCGCCCCACAAGGGTGCTGGACCTCAGAGTCCGCGCACTTGGCGTCGTCGGGGAGGGAGGGGAGCTCGCCGCGCTGCTCGGAGGGGAAGGCGAGGTCGAACGGCGGCAGGTCGGCGAGGCCGAGGATCACGCGCGCCTCCTCGCGCGCGAGCGGGACCGCCTCCGCAAGAAGGGCCGGCCACCACTTTTGCGCCTGCACGCCGGTCACGAGGACGTCGGCGCCGACGCGGCCGCGCTCGACGATTTCGTCGACGATGACGTTCTTCAGGATGTCGACCTTCCCTGCGCGCCAGTCGGCCATCTGCTGTGGGTTGAGCTTCTTGTAGTTGTAGAAGTGCTTGTCGAACGTGAAGTCGACCTTGCCGACCTTGAAGGGATGTGGGCCATCGTAGATGTCGGCGATGTAGTCGAAGTGCTGGTCGAAGGTGAGGTTGACGCTGTTGTGGGAGGAGTTGACGGCGCGCTCGAGCATACGTGTCGTCTCGTCGGTCGCGTGCCCCTCGTCCGTGACGTAGCCGCCGTGCTTGGCAGAGTGGGGCGAGGGGTAATGAAAGAGGTAGAAGCGGGAGCGCTGCCCGCGGCGCATGCCCTCGGGCAGCGGCTTCGGGACTGGCGGGAGGTGGGCCGGCATGCCGCCGGGCAGCTCCGCAAAGAACGCCGCGAACGAGAGGATGCGGGGCCACGCGCGCTTGAAGTGGTTGGCGCCAGAGAGGGACATGCTTGAGACACGAGGAGCGAGAGGAGGCGCCCGAGACTAGCGCTGCTGCGCAGCTCGTCCAAAGGAGCCTGCGGGAGCGGGAGGAGGCCGGCCGTGTGAGAGGTGGGATGCGAGGGGTGCTGGCGCCGTTGCCCTCATGTGTCTGCACCCCTCCCAGGCCCACCATGAGGCACACACGCGTGAGCCGACGGCGGCCACACGCCACTTGCTCTAAACTCATGAATTGCTCGGCTCGTGGAGATGGAAAAGGAGCCGCAGTTGGATGTGCTGAGAGCGCGTGATGATGAGAAGAAGCGGGTGCGTGAGAGGGGCTGCGGCACCGAAACCATCGAGGCGGCGGCATGGTGGCGGGTTACGCTATGAGGTGTGTGCGGAAGTGTGAGTTTTGCACCTGGGCGGCCTTGGGTCGACCGCGCTGGACATTGCGCGGTAGTGTAGTTGGCCATTCGCAACTGAAGAAAGGCGGTGCCGCGGAGAGATAGCGAAATGGCCCGGGTCAGAGATAAAGAATTCCCGAAATTAGGTGCCCGGTAGGCTTGGCTGCAAAGGGGATTTTCGCGTTTTGTTTTTTTATTCAGGGTTTTGCAACTGATTCCGTTTGCAACAAACGGAATCAAGAAAGAAAGCATCCGAAAGCAGGCGGCGTCTCGTGCTCGACCAGGATCGCCGTCCCGGCGCGAGAATGCAGCCGGGCTTGCCGTCGTCCAGCTCTTTTTGCTTCGGCTCGTCGTCAGCGACGCGCCAGTCCTGGCGCAGCCGCCCCGCCGTGCGGTCCACGGCCTTGCAGCCCGTCGACGCGCCCGACGACGTGACCGCGGCCGAGATGGAGGCCTTCATGGACCACATCCAGCCGAGCTTGTACCAGCCGCCCGACGACAGCGACATCGCCCATGAGTTCACGGCGTGGCTGGCGGCGCGCCGCGAGACGTTGCGGACCGCCGCCGGTGCAGGCCGCCCTCGCGACTCGCAGGCCGACGTCGCCGCACCCGACGCCGCCGGCGGCGAGGAGTCGCCCGACAACGAGACGGGGCGCGCGACTCCGCCCGCACCTGCGCCGGCGGCGGCGTCCGGCCGCCGGCGCCGGCGCAAGCCGCTCGCCGGCGGCGGCGGCGAGAAGGAGAACGCGGACGTCGAGATGGACGCGCTCATGGTCGAGCGGCCCCGGCCTGCGCAGATGGAGCAGCGCTGGCGCGCCGTCCTTGCCGCGCGCCACGAGGATTACGACCGGGAGCTCGAGAAGGACAACCCGGAGCGGCCGTGGCACAGGGTGCCACACTTCCAGGGCGACGTCGAGGCGGAGTGCAAGCTGTGGGCAAGGGTCGTGCGCGCGCTCGGCGAGGCCTACGCGCGTGACCGCTGGGACATCTCGCCCGTCGAGTTTGACCCCGACCCCAAGAACCGCTCGCGAGCCGAAGCCGCGCGACGCAGGCGTCACAAGAAGTTGCTGGAGGCGGCGAAGCGGGCGGAGAGCAAGGCTGCGGCTGCCGCCGCCGCCACCGCGAC